GAAAAAGAAAGAAAAGGAGTTTGTTTACTAACTAATATTTGTGACTTTTACCTGTGATGGGCTCTCTCAGCCTAAGATTACAAGTCCTGCAGCTTTGCTTTGCCCTTTCATATTTTTTCAAAGGAAACATGTCCAGACCACCGACTAGAAAGGCATCCTCTATGTAGAGGCCACTTTGAGCTGACTCAGGAAAGAGGGATTGAGAAAGCACAAGGGAAATAAACCCTTTTGGAAACCCAGAATCCTTGTTTTAGTATATGCTAGTTTTCTCTCCTGCTCCCAATTTTTTCCCACAACTCTTTTTTTTTTTACAGCAAATTTCTTTTCTTTTCTTTTCTTTTCTTTTCTTTTCTTTTCTTTTTTTTTTTTTGGAGGCAAGCAAGGTTAAGTGACTTGCCCAGGGTCACACAGCTAATAAGTATCTGAGACCAGATTTGAACTCAGGTCCTCCTGATTCCAAGGCCAGTGCTCTATCCACTGCGCCACCTGGCTGCCACCCAGCTACCCCTCCCTCCTCATCCTGCCCAACTCTTAACAAGCAACAAAGATGATCTAGTGTTCATTCCCACAACTACCTCCCTTTCTTTGGGCCCCTAGCCTTTACCTAGCCTTTATTGCTGTCCCATCTCTCTCTCTTCTGCCTATCCCAATCCTACTCATCCTTCAAAACCCAACTAAAATCTCCCTTTCTCTCAGAAGCCTTCTCTGACCACTCCAGGCTTCGTTGATTTCTCTCTTTTATCTGATATCCTACATGATTTACAGGTTATAGTACATAGTTTGACTCTCAGCTGAATTCTTTCCCTGTACTGCTCACTCTTAATTTCATCATTGCCAACAGACATTTTTGAGCACCTACTATGTAGAAGGGAAATATACAATCTCTTCACCACCTCTTCTGTGAGCCTTCAATGTCGAACTGGTGCCTTGTACATAGATGGGTAGACGGCTATAAGTGTTTGTTATTGGGCAGATTTAAATAGATAATATAACTCATTAGAGCCAGAAGAGAACTTAGAAATCATCTGCATCAGGTGATCTCTTAAAGTTGACTTATAGATTGAGGTTTCTTTTCTTCCTTTCTCTGCTCAGCCCCCATTTTGGAGAGATGACCAAAAGGCATATCACAGGTTAAAAAAGAAAAAGAGGTACTGTGGAATAGGTGTCCTTACTGGTGTGACTGTGAACAAGCCATTTACCCTGCTTATCTAATAAATGGGTAATAATAAGACTTTCAGTGATTTTCTTCCATTGTCGTGAGAAAAGCACTTGTTCAATCATGTCCAACTCTTTGTGACCCCATTTGGGGTTTTCTTGGCAGAGATACTGGAGCGGATTGCCATTTCCTTCTCTAGCTTACTTTACAGATATGGAAACTGAGACAAACAGGGTTAAGTGACTGGCCCAGGGTCACACAGCTAGTAAGTGTATGAGGCCAGATTTGAACTCAGGAAGATGAGATTTCCTGGCTCCAGGCCCAGCACTCTATACATTATGCCACCCAACTTCCCAAGAAAAGCACTAGATAACATGAAATGAATAGTATCATTAAGCAGAAAAGGGACAAAACTGGATGACCTCAATCCTTTCAGCCTATGTGCATACACAGACGGCAACTGCCAAAGGAGGAGCCTCTTTAGAATATAACAGAGGGATATAAATGCATGGCATGTGCCTAGTTTAATAACCCAGCTATGGGGGGGGGAAGCTCCAAATTTCTGACCCACTTGGCTCTTTGGAACCTTGTCTGTATTCTCTCTGGCTTTCACATCAGCACTATGGTGCATAGTAAAGAGTGCTGGACTTTGAATGACAACACAGATTGTAGCTGTGTGACCCTGGGGAATTGACAAAACTTCTCTGAACCCTAGCTTCTTCATCCATAGGGACAATAGGGACAATAATACCTGTAGAACCTACCTGCTTGGTAAAGTTGTTGTGAAGTTCAAAGGAAATAAGATTTCTTGCCAACCATGTTGTGAGCTGCAAAGGAGGCTTATCCCCATTTCACAGATGAACAAAGTGGAGCCAAAGGGAATTTATACATGGCTACTAAGTGGTAGAGCTGGGATGAGATCCAGCTTTCTTGTCTCCTCCTTGAAGTCTCTCCTGATTGACAGTGGCTTACATTAAACCTATCCCATTTCTGAATTTTTTTTTTGCTTTTTGGTGAGGCAGTCGGGGTTAAGTGACTTGCCCAGGGTCACATAGCTAGTAAGTGTCAAGTGTCTGAGGCTGGATTTGAACTCATGTCCTCCTGACTCCAAGGCCAGAGCTCTATCCACTGTGCCACCTAGCTGACCCTCCATTTCTGAATTTCAATGGCACTTATCATCCATATCAGAGCAGCTGGAGTCAGGAAGACCTGAGTTCAAATTTGACCTCAGACCCTTACTAGCTGTGTGACCTTGGGCAAGACACTTAACCCTGTTTGCCTCAGTTTCCTCATCTGGAAAATGAGTTGGAGAAGGAAATGGCAAACCACTTCAGTATCTGCCAAGAAAACCCCAAATGGAGTCACAAAGCGTCTGACATGACTGAAAAAGGACTGAATTGACTGAATCATCCATATTGTACAATATAATATTTGAGTGTACACTTTTGTTTTACTGTTCTCTAGTTGTTGCGTGCCTGTGAGCCTTGTTGCCCCAACTATAGTGTAAGTTCCCCAAAGGAGGGAAGTGTGTCATCTACTTTTTATCTGCATGAGGCTTAGTTCAGTACTACTCATATAGCAAAGAGCACTTCATCAGTATTTGACTTAAAATAAATGGGTTGCCAGTATCTCTCCACTAGATTGTGATCTTTTCCAGGCCAGAACCAGTCTATGCATGGAATCAGTCCATGGAATAGCCCATACTGAGTTCTGATGTAGTTCCCAGAGCTGACTCATTGTGTACCTTGGACCAAACCATCCAATTTCTCTGTGCCTCTGGGGGAGATAAGAAGCTAGCTATCATCTGGAGAGCTGACTTTCAGAGACAGGTAGCGGATGTGACTGCAATACCTATTGCTAAAGAGGAAGTGCCATGTGAGACTGCTAACCAAAGAGTGGCTATTCAACTGTGCTGAGACCTGGGGTACACACATCTCAGGCTCTTTTAAGAGAAAGAGACAAGCATAAACCTGGTCTAGTCTTTCCAAATAGACTTCCAGACAGGGAACACCAAGCATGCCTGAGGCAGAAATCCAGCTAAAAAATGATAGCAACAGTAAACAAAATTCTAAGATTCCTTGGTTCTTTAATTCTGAAAATTCTGTGAGATTCCATGATTCCATGAATCTCAAATCCTAAGATTCTACAGTTCTAAGATTCAATTCATTCCTTAAACAATCAATAATTAAGGGCCTACACTATGTGCAGGGAGTTTCAGAGCCTACACTGTGTTTCAGGGAGTAGGGAGAGTAAGAGTTATTTATATAGACAAATAAGGGCAAAACAGGAGAGAAAGAGAGAGAGAGAGAACTAACAAATAGGGGTTCAGGAAAGGCTTCCCGAACAGGGTAGTGGTAACTGAGCTGAGCCTTTAAGGAAACCAAGGATTCTATGAGGCACAGGTGAGGAAGAGCCTATTTCAGGTCAGCCCTGGTGAGGGCATGAAAGCAGGAAGAATAGTGAGTTAATAAGTCTGGTAAATTTGAGCTAGATCATATAGGACTTTAAATGATATGCTGAGGAGTTTTTTGCTTTTTTTTTTTTAATACTATTTGTACTTTGTCCCATAGCACATTGGGAGCATCCAAATGGTGGTTACACTGGCATTGTTGGGGATATTAATTAGCTATAGAAATATATATAGATGGGGGCAGCTAGGTAGCACAGTGGACAGAGAACCGGCTCTGGAGTCAGGAAGATGAGTTCAAATCTGGCCTCAGACATTTGTTCACTGATACTTACTAGCTGTGTGACTCTAGGTAAGTCACTTAACCCCAACTGCCTTGCAAAAAAAAAAAAATACACACACACACACACACACACACACACACACACAGAGATCTTTTCCATATTTAAAAAATCATTGTTCTCGTTCTAGCCTCTCTGAACTCATTCAGGCTGGTCCTTGGAAAACAAACACAGTCTGGAACCTTTCCAACATGGTAGAACCTGCTAGAGTTTTTGCTCCCCTTACTTAGCCTTTGAGTACCAGGATCATTTGTGCACCATACAATGAATAGATTTTATGGTCATTAATACTAATAGGTAATTAGTATAAGTGTTATCCCTATTTTATGGATGAGGAAACTGAGATCAAGAGAGATTAGTTGGCTTGTCTCTTGTTACACAGCTAGATACTCTGTCTCCAAGGCCAATCTTTCCACTATAATATACTATCTTATCATTTGCTGAAGGTCAAAGAAAATATGAAGTCGCTTTTCCTCTCTGTTACCATTATCAATAATGTAATAATTAGATTATAGTACTTACATTAAATATTATATTTTATTATTATGGAATAAAATATATATTAGTATTATAGCAAGCAATAAGTAGAATACAGGTAGAGTATCAGGGCTAGAAGGGACCTAGAAACCAATCTAGTCTGGGAGTTCTTAACCTTTTTTTGTGACATGGACCCCTTTGGCTATCTGGTGAATCCCTATGGATCCCATCTCTGAATAATGTTTTTAAATACGCAGGATTACAAAGGAAACCAATTATATTGAAATAGTTATTTTTAAAAATCAAGTTCACCTACCCCAGGTTAAGAACCACAATCTAATCCAATTCCTTCATTTGGCAGAAGAGCAAGTAAGGCCCAGAGAGGTGCCATGATATTTCTAGTGTCTCAGGACAATTAATCCTGAGGTAGGGTCAGAACCTAGATCTCCTCTCTCAGTGGACTATTTTATCCTCTTCTTCCTTCCTCCTCCCTATTTGAAGGCAATCTGGAAATATTTTTCTCTTATGTTAAAAAAAAAATAAGATTCCTCCTTGCACCCATGCTGGAATTTCATTTTATAGCTCAGAGAACATAATCCCATCTTTCCTTGTGTTCTAGATTTTCTTGGTCCGGCGGGAGAGTAATCTCAAGCACATGATCCTCTCGGTCCATTTCCCTTCCCTGAACGAGACAGTTTCAGATGTGCTGGAATACAACATAAAAGAAGAAAAGTCAAGTAAGTACATAAACCTTTCCTTTTCTGGCCTTGGACCAACAAACTGTATTAACCACCTTCTAACCACAAGCACTCACTGACAAGCTCTTGATGGTGTTTAAATGAGGAGAAAAATGATGTCTTCAGCGTCAAAGCTGACCAGAGTTTCCTCTGGCCTCAAGTCAACAAGGGCTGCTCTGAGTTTGATGCATCACTTTAATTTGCATCTGCCAATGTCATGGGTTATTTTCTCTGCCTCAATATGGCCTCCGTAGAATTTCCTTTCGTTTTCAAGAAGCCAAAGGTAAGAAAGCAGCTGTTTATAGGACAAGAAAATTGAATTGGGAAACAGGATGACTGGGTACCAGTCCCTGCTTCATTACTAACTCACAACATGACCTTGGGCAAGTCATAGATTCTTAGAACTAGAAGGGACCTGAGAAGTTCATTTATTTTAACCCATACCTGAAGCATGAATCACTTCTTCAACATTCAAATTTTCCCCCTGGCAAGTGGCCATAAAAGTTGTCCTGTCCTTACTTAGCTCTCATTATTATTATTTTTTATTATTTTTAAAAAAAATTTTTCCAGGATTTTTTTTTTGAGGCAATTGGGGTTAAGTGACTTGCCCAAGGTCACACTGCTAGTACATGCCAAGTGTTTGGTGTGAGGTCATATTTGAACTCAGGTCCTCCTGACTTCAGGGCCAGTGTTCTATCCACTGCGCCTCCTAGCTGCCCCTCCAGGATTATTTTTAAGGATCAAAGAAACTGGTAGGTGCAAAAATACTTGGGAAAGCATAGTATTGTCCAAAGATCAAGGATTAGTTTTAAGATGACTTAACTGAGTCTTGTCAAATGGTTTGGCACTTCAAACAATGACACAAAGTTTCACAGTTACCTCTTCTATAAAATGAATTACCCCTAAGGCCTTCCAACTTTAGATCCTGTGATTCTTTTAACCTAGGTATTTACTAGTAGTTTCTCACTATTGTTTGGCAGTGGTCTAAAGTGAGATGATGAAATTGGCCCATATTTTGGTTTCCTAGTGACACATTAATTATTGTAGGTTGTTCCTTCATGTGACAAGTCTGACTTCTTTGTTTTTATTAAGTTTTTATTGATATCTTTTTCTTTACAGCACCATAATTTCGCTTAGTATCTCTCTCCTATCCCTCCTAGATAGCCATCCTATATAACAAATAGCACTTGTTAAAGACAAAAAGGGAAAAGAAGGAAAAAAATCGGCATAACTGATCAATAAATTGAAATATTCTGAGAATGTGTGCAATGCACAACACTGGTGAACTTATCACCTTTGCAATGGGGTGGGGTCGAACTGTTTCCTCATACCTCTTTCAGGCTATGCTTGTTGTTTGTAATTTTTACAGTGTTCACTTTTGTGTTTTCTTGTGGTTCTTTCCATTTACATTGTTGTAGTCATTTTGTATATTCATTTCTTGATTCTGCTTACTTCACTCTGCATCAGTCCATGCAGAGCTTTCCATATTTCTCTGTTTATCACATTCATCATTTCTTAGAGCTCAGTAATATTTCATCATATTCATGTACCACAATTTGCTTAGCCATTCCCAAATTGATGAGTATCTATTTTATTTCTAAATGACCTTGCTGTCACAAAAAGTGTAACTATAAATATTTTGATGTATATTGGAACTTTCTTCTTATCAATGGACTCCTTGGAGTATAATCATAGTGATGGGTGGAATCTCTGGGTAAGAGGGTATGGACATTTTAGTCACTTTATTTACATACCTCCAAACTGATTTCCAGAATGGTTGTACCGATTCTCATAGCTTCACCAACAATGCACTTGTGTGCTCACCTTCCTGCCCCAACTGCCCCAACATTACCTATTCTCATCTTTTATCATCAGGACCACTAGGTGGCACAGTGGATAGAGTGCCAGGCCTGAAGTCAGGAAGATTCATCTTCCTAAGTTCAAATCCAGCCTCAGACACTGAAATAATATATATGTAAAGAATTTTGCAAACTTTAAAGCTAAATATTAATGCCAGTTATTATTTGAGCAAAAGCTAGACAGCCTGCTTGGCCTCTGAGGGTAGGACTGAGAAAACTGAGAAGGGGCAAATTTAGGTATGATATAAGGAAATACTTCCCAATGAATGGATGAATGGAAAAGCATTTATTAATTACTTACTGTGTGCCCAGTATTATGATAAGCTATTGCATGGGTACATCAACAGAAAAATGAAAAGTCAAAGATCTCATGCTTTAGTTGGAGGGGACAATACATAAAAGAAAGTTCAGATTTAGAGCGGATGGAAAAGCCCAGAAGTCTGAGAGGTGCATGCACTAGCAGTCCTCTGTCACCCAGTAAAGAAACCTTCTATAGCATCACTTGAATACCTATGGTGAGGAGGAACTCACTAGCTTGTACTAGCTAATACCATAGCAAGAATTAGATTATCTGATTATCCATTACTAATTTTTTTTTTCCACATACAGAAAGCAGTGCCCTGAGAGGACAGAACAGAGGAAAGGAAAGCTTTGATAGGTATGAAGAAAAGGTCCAAAACACAGGATATTCACCAAACTTATAGTAATAGCTAATAATAATAACAACAATAATAACTAGCATTTATACCAGTGCCTTAGGGTTTGCAAAGCACTTTACAAATATTAACTCATTTCCTTCCAGCTTTCAATCCTTATCTTTGATCAAATCCTACATTGAGAAAAATTGGTAAATTCCATTATAAGACTAAGTAAATAAGAATTTAATTCACTAATTTCATCCAACATACATTTGTTAAGAATTTAGTGTGAACATTGTAATTTTCTATACAAAGATAAATGAGACCTGGTCTCTGCTATTAAAAAGTCTGCAGTCTTCTAGGAGAGATGAGACATGTACACAGATTACTAATACAAATTAGAATGTGATAAACACATAAGAGGTATTTATTTTTATATATTTGTTATATTAATTATTATATCATAAATCATTAGTTGATTCATGTTATTATTATAGTGATAAATTTATTGTACTATATTATATTTGAACATTTATATGAATATATTTTATATGAAATATAAGTGTATTTGATATAAAACATGAATATATTTGAATATTTATATTGTATATTTCAGATACTTTTATGTATACATAGTGTCCTCTCCAACAGAACATAAATTTCTTGAGGACAGAGACTTTCATTTTTAATAATAATAATGATAATAGTAACAATAGCTAACAAGTACATGGGGCAGCTAGATGGTGCAGTGGATAGAATGCCACGCCTGGAGTCAGGAAGACTCATCTTCCTGAATTCAAATCCAGCCTCAGACACTTACTAGCTATGTGACCGTGGGCCATTCACTTAACCCTGTTTGCCTCAATTTCTTTATCTGTAAAATGAGCTGGAGAAGGAAATGGCAGACCACTCCAGTATCTTTGCCAAGAAAACCCCAAATGGAGTCATGAAGAGTCAGACGTGACTGGAAAGAATGACTGAAACACTTATATAGTGTCTGCTATGTGCCAAGTACTGTGCTAAGCACTTCACAAATATCTCATTTGATCCTCACAACCATTATTATCCCCATTTTATAGATAAGGAAACTGAGGCAGATAGCAATTAAGTGACTTGACCAGGGTTACAATGTCTAAGGCCAGATTTGAATTCTGGTTGTTCCAACTCCACCTGTCTTTGTATCACCAGGGTCAGAACAATGGCGGGCACATGGTAAGAGCTGTGCATGCTGAATGATTGACTAATTGTTACCATAAATATGTCAAAACTGCAATTTGAACCCAAATATCTTGACTCTAAGTTTAGGACTCATTTTGTTACTTTTGACTTTCTACTCTTATGACTTTAATTAAAGAGAAAACTTCACATTGGTGTCTATGGTTTTTGATGATATGTGTTTTGTTACAGTCCACCACCACCACCACCACCCACCACCCACTCCATCCATTTTGTTATTCTCACAGAAACTGTGTGAAGGAACTAGATGTGCTTTGTGTAGTTCAACTTGTTGGAAAGCCAAGATCATTCTCCCGAGGAATGCAAATGTCTTATTTCTTTTGCAAAATACAAAACCAGGACAAATCTATCCGCTCTGTTTTGTGCCCTACTGAGATGCCACCTCATCCTCTCTGGACGTCAGTGACTCAAAATGCTTCCCTGGGGAAGTAAAACACCCAGTCTTAGTGGATTCAGAATACAAATCACAGTACCCACAATTCTGCCCACGTGGTTTCACAAATAGGAAGTTGTGGGCATCTTTAGAGCAGTTACATGGCGTAGTGGAAAATGCATTGGCCTGGAAATAAGAGATGAGCTCTAATTCCCCCCTTAGCTCTGATACAAACTTGCAGTGTAAATGTAAGCAATTCACTAAACTCTCTGGGCCTCAATTTCCTCATGTTAAAAATGGGGATGATGATACCACAACTTCATCTCTTCATGGGATTATTGTGGGAATCAAATGAGAGCATAGACCCAAAATCACTATGGAAAGTCTAAAGGGCTTTAATGATGCAAGGAATCATTTTTTGAAAAAAATGTCTTAATCTTTACCCCATATGTCCTGAATATACGGAGTGCAATGCCTTCCACCTTTCTCCACAGACCAATTAGTAAATTGGGAAGCAATGCTGTAACAGTTTTACCTACTTCTTCTTGTTTTGGCTCTCCACAAAACTACAGAAACATTCAAAGGAGAGGTTTATTGGAAAGTACCCACCAAATATACTATCAGGTTATGGCAATATGGTTCTTTCTCTATCTTTGCCTATCTCCAGAGGATCAAAGAGTCCTTTGTACTTCAGGGAGCTGGAAATCCTGATCCTGTTATGTATTACTGCTTTTCACAATATCATGTTGTTACTTCCCCCTTCAATCTTGGTTCTCACTGTGGAAACTTTCTGGATTACTTAGTGGAATTTTCCCTAACGGAATGTTCCTTTAATTCACACATCATCCCTGTTCCAAGCCCACTTTGCTTTTTCTTAGCACCTGCAAAAGTAGA